TGTGTGCTGCAGGTTTTCAGCTCCTTGACTGACTCTGGTTCCTCCCTCCACACAGAGGTGGGGCTTCAATGACATCACCAATCTCAGGAAATAAATGATCTTCATTACAAAATATTTACTTTGGCTAACTCCACCTGAGAAGAACTGTTAGAATCACTGAAGATATTACTTAAAGGTATTATAAAAGGACATGAAGTATTAGACAAAGAAGATGTGAGGTACAGACTGAACTACAACCAGACAGAGAGAGAGATGGATGGATGGAGCAGTAGATGGTGTTAACTGCTTGTTAACCTTACAGTAATCAGATACTATGCACATTAAAGGTCCATATAGTAAAAAGGTAGATATCCGTTTTTTGATTATAAAGCAGGTCTGCGTTGTAATACTAAACTCCATATTTTCTCTTCTCCTGTGTTTTATTTGAAGTGTTGATCCATAAGATATATTTGTGGATTTAAGAACCAAAAACCATCTCAATGTAGTTTTACATCTTTCTACATCTTACATCATTTTTCAATGGAGCTCTAGTAACAACAGTCAGCCAATCAGAAGAGAGACTCTGAGCCTCTCTTCTGATTGGCTGACTGAATGATCCAATAAAAATATAGCAGACTTCAGGTTAACACTCAGAGAAACGGGATCCAGGTTGGCTTGGGGCATGGCTGAGAGCAGTGGCTGCTTTGTTGTGACATCACAAAGTTCCAGAAGTCCTGACGGCTGGTTTTAAGGATCAATTTCTGAATACAGGCTGTGTGCATTTCTCTGCGCTTTGATACTTTCACAGTATTAATATAGAACCTAGACCTGATATCACTGTCAGGATATCACTGTGCAGGATACCACGGTGCAGGATATCACTGTCAGGATCAGGGATGTCACGATACCAGAACTTTAGTAGTCGATACCAATTAATACCAAAAAATGAAATTCCACGATTCTAAATATCTATTTTGATACCATGGTAAAAAAAAACAAAAAAAACAAAAAGAAACACACACAATAAATTCCATGTACTTTCTCTTTCACTCCTTTATTGAAAAATATCAATAAAAAAAACAAAAAACAAAGTGGCATGTAGCATTCAAGAATTTAAAATAAACAATACTATGTACTGGGTATGTTTTTTGCCACATGGCGTCAACCTGGTACCGAAGTATCGGTTCTGGTGACAACCCTAGTCTGGATACCACTGTCAAGATACCACTGTCAGGATATCACTGTGCAGGATATCACTGTCAGGATATTGTTGTGCAGGATAGCACTGTCATGATATCACTGTCAGGATACCACTGTGCAGGATAGCACTGTCATGATATGACTGTGCAGGTTATCACTGTCAGGATATCATTGTCAGGATATTACTGTCAGGATAAAACTGTCAGGATACCACTGTCAGGATACCACTGTCAGGATATCACTGTACAGGATATCACTGTGCAGGATACCACTGTGAGGATATCACTGTGCAGCGTTTGCTGAGTGTTTCCTGTTCCCGCCTGAGGTGACACAGACATATCCAGGTCAGACTAACACAGTTCAGCTGCTCTTGTGTTTGATTCTGTCTTTACCTTTAAACCAGGAGTAACTGACCGAAGCTGCAGGAGATGACACAGTGAGAACATGAAGTTGGTGTTCTCCTCTGACATAGGACCCAGCTCTGTCCTGTGTGTAGTGCATGAACTGTGAACTCTTCCCCTCTCTCTCTCTGCTTCAGATCCGCTCAGACCGAGACAAGAACCGGATGCTGCGCTACAGTGTGACAGGCCCTGGGGCTGACCAGCCTCCCACCGGCATCTTCATCATCAACCCCATCTCAGGCCAGCTGTCCGTCACCAAGCCTCTGGACAGAGAACACATCTCCAACTTTCATGTAAGACAGTCTACATGTGACAGCAGAGCTCAGCTTCATGTTTAACATCAGCAGCTCAAACCTAAAACACTGTGCCTGAGAACCTCAGTGTGGTGTCAAAGGGTAGAGTTAGTATCTGTGCTGCTCTCACTCTTTCCCTCCCAGCACGTCTCTCCTGTTTCCTCCTCTCAATAACCATCTCACATCAGAAATAGATTCACACTCTTCATATCAATCACACTCTGTCCCAGACATTAAAACTGAAAAAGTCTGACATTCAAAGGTTGTGATCTGTAGCACAGAGTTAGAGAAGCAGCGCAAACAGAAGCATGCCCTGGAGCATGCTCAGTGGCCTTACAGGAAGTACTCTCCAGAGACTGTGGAAGTGATGTGGAGCTGTTTCTAAATAAACTACAGCATCACATTCCTCTTAATGAATGAACAAGTCACTCAGAGCAACACACACACACAGACGCACGCGCACACTGTCTGTCAGAAGGACAGAAGGAGAAAAATATATAAAATCACCTGCATCATATCATTTAGAGAAAAGTTGAACACTGTTTGTGTGAGCTGCAGCCTCTGTGTGTTTGAAGCTTCTGGTCATGATTCCTCTCTTCATCACTGATGATGAAAGTCTTCTTCACCTGTTTTATAGTCATACAAGTTTTTTTTCTTTCATCCTCAGGACTCAGTCAACCAACTCCTTTTATATTCTCCAGTTTTCCTGTAAACACGTTTTTTGTAGAAAATACACAACTGTTGATTTTTGTTTTTGTTGAACCTCATCATCTTCCCCACCTGCACGGTCACCTCTTCACTCCTCACATTGACATGCGCCAACACCTCTCACTGAGCTCTCATCACAGCTGCACAGCAAACATTTAGCAGCCTGGGACCAGTTGCACAAAACACTTTAAGTTAAGATTTTCCTTAAGGTCTGAGTTAAGGTTTCCTTAAAATAAAAAGAGATGCATAAAACAACCTTAAGTCTTCTCCTTAAGGTTTCCTTAAAATGTTTACTGAAGTATTCAAGGTTTTCTTGTTATCTCAACCTTACACTTAAGGAATCACTTAAAGTCAGTTAAACCGTTACACAAAAGAACCTTAGCGATCAAAGTAAGAAAACTACTAAAGGTAGCTCTGATAAATGAAGAAGCTGAACATCCTAAGAAGAGTGGGTGAACAGAGTTAATGATTCTGTGTTACTCACTTCTTCTAATGTTACCAGCTTCCCAGAAGTGACAACACGTATCACAAGCTAATGCCAGCAAACAAGCGGTTGCCATGGAAACAGTAGAATTTTACCACTGTAGCGTCTTTTTTTACTGCAGTGAATTACTTTTCCTTAACTAAGGAAACCTCTTAAGAGATTCTGTTCAACACCCTTAAGTAACTCCTTTAGCTAAACAGAAATTAAATCTTAATTGTTGTACTTAAGTAGAAAACTTAAGGTGTTTTGAGCAACTGGCCCCAGGTGTCCAGTTCCTTTTAACTTTTGTGCTCTTTGTTAAAGAGCGTGTGTCTCCCACATTGTTCTATGTTGACGTTAACTGACTCAGACTCTGCATTTTAATGTGGTATCTATTATTGTATTTTAAACTTTTAAAATGTGCTGAAGCTCAGAGCCTGAAGAACAAATGTGTAATTGTCCAAATGCCTCTGAACTGTAGAATGCAGGTTACACTCACGCAGTGTGTGCTGAGGAAGTGAGCACATCTCAGATGATTTCCCTCCTGTGAATCTGCTACCACCATGTCAGCAGCTGTTTTTATTTTCATCTGTGCTGTCGTTCTCTCCTGCATATATCCTCTCTCACGCACAGAGATGAAGGAGTCAGTGTTTAAAGAGACTCTGCCTGTTTTCTCACTACATCTAATACAGTCACATCCACCTGAGAGAGCACAGTCTAACCTTTTGATCTGCAGGAATGCACACACACCACTCACACAGGGGAGTGGAAATCTGGAGTTGCAGCAGCCTGATTTGCATTAAAGCCGTCTGATGAATATGCATGTGATTGGATGTAGTTGTCAGAGCTGGGAGCTGGGATTGGCTCCATGTTTATTCATGAGGAGGCTTTGGCTCTTTGAGAGCCGGTACAGATGCTACATCTACTGCAAAAGAATGACTTATCAAGGGTCCAGACCTGTGGCTCTATTCAACATGTCTGACCATGTGATACTGAATAAATACTCTGAGGCCTGCTGCTGGATTTTCAGTTTCATTATGTTTATTCAAGTTACATAAAAACTGAAATCATTTGTTCTGTAAAGAGTGATGTTTATTAAGTAGTTGTGATGATTTTAAGTTTTCATCTTTGAGCTGAGGTAACCTCAATAAGACGCTGACTTTTCATCCAGTCCCTCCAGCAGCTCAGATCCTGGATCTAGGTTTAATATCTACAAAACTGTGACATCACCAGCAGCCTGTGTTCATTGCTAATTAGCAAATGTTAGCAAGCTAATAGAAAACAATCCTTGCTAAACATCAGCACTTTAGCATGAAGCTGATATTTGGAGCTGCACACTTAACCCATGTGTGTGTGTGTGTGTGTGTGTGTGTGTGTGTGTGTGTGTGTGTGTGTGTGTGTGTGTGTGTGTGTGTGTGTGTGTGTGTGTGCGTGCGTGCGTGCGTGTGTGTGTGTGTGTGTGTGTGCAGTTGCGAGCCCACGCTGTGGACCTGAATGGGAATCAGGTGGAGAATCCCATCGACATTGTCATCAACGTCATCGACCAAAACGACAACAGACCAGAGTTCACACACACTACCTTCAACGGCTCTGTACCTGAGGGATCCAAGCCAGGTACACTCCCACACACATACACACACACAAACACACACACACACCACACACTACACACACACACACACACACACACACACACACACATATGTCTGACAAACTAATTTAATCCCTCCTCACTGACGTGTCTGTCGACTTGCTGTGTTCCCAGGATCCTTTGTGATGACAGTGACAGCAGTGGACAAAGATGATCCAAAAACTGCCAATGGGATGCTGCGGTACAAGATCCTCTCCCAGAATCCCCAGAGCCCCTCCTCCAACATGTTCACCATCAACAACAAAACTGGTGACATCATCACTGTGGCAGCAGGCCTGGATCGGGAGGTGTGTGTGTGTGTGTGTGTGTGTGTGTGTGTGTGTTTGTGTGGACATGTGTGAGGCTCATCCCTAACCCCATATGGAACAGCTGCTCCTCAGCCTGTGAGTGCAGCCTGCAGGGTTTCCTGCGGAGACGGCTCAGTAGATCGTTCTGCCCTCTGCTTCTCTAGAGGTTGTTGCAGAAGCTTCATGAACACATTCTTTCATCTTAAATAATTCTGTCGTTCTGTATTCATTCATGCGGCACTGTTCACACTGACCCTTGAAGGATAACTCTGGTTTAACACAATGAGCTTTCAACCACATCTCAAGGTCTTTGACTGCAAATAGAGTTTACTTAGTTATTATGGAGATTTGTTATCATGTGACCTCAGCATGGGACATGTTTAAAAACAAAGAGAAGAGGGGACTGTCAAATGAACTGTAATTAATCTAAATTATCATTTAAAATATGTTGACTATATTAAAAGTCTTTCACACTAAATGAGGTTTAACTCGACTGTGTTTCTGTCATTGAACTGATCCTATTCTCCGTTTGAATTAAGAAGCTCATTACATTTATGTCATTACATCTGCAGTCATTTTCTCTCTGAACACTGTTGTTAACACTGAGTCATCAGCTGTGATGCTGCTGAGACACACAGTTTAATTACATTTACATCAACTATTACCTGTGCTGCCATGTTTGAACTGTGATGATGATGATGATGATGATGATGGTGGTGGTGATGATGATGATGATGATGATGATGACCCTCTCTGTTCTCTGTCTGACTGTAGAAAGTCACCCAGTACACCCTGATCATCCAGGCAACTGACATGGAGGGAAACCCCACATATGGCCTGTCTAACACTGCCACCACTGTGATCAGGATCACTGATGTCAACGACAACCCCCCTGAATTCACCACAGACACAGTAGGTCCACACACACACACACTCACACACACACACACACTACACACACATACTCACACACTCTAAGGGGGAATCTAATGGCTATGAAACAGCACTGAAGCTGTGAGCGTTTATTGGCAGTGGCAGATGGTGAAGGAGCAGAGAGCCAGTGAAACATCCAGTGTGTTTATGCCTCAGTTTGACTGAGCAGGTTGGACATGAGGAGCAGTGCTTATGGGAAATGTGGTCTTTATTTTGGGAAACAGCAGAACTGAGCTGCTGAGAGACAGAGGACATCTTGTCCATGTTGGTCTTAGTTCATTACACTGACATACTGATGCTGTCTGTCTGTCTGTCTCTTTGACTGTTTGTCTGTCTGCCTGTCTGTCTGTCTGACTCTATTTGTCTCTCTACTTGTCTCTCTGTCTGGCTCACTCACTCTCTGTCTGTCTGTCTTTCTGTATGTCTCTCCATCTGTCTCTCTGTCTCACTTTCTCTGGCTCTCTGGCTCTCTGTCTCACTCTCTCACTCTCCGCCTGGCTATTTGTCTCTCTCTGGCAGTTTTTCGGGGAGGTCCATGAGAACAGGGTGAATGTGATCGTAGCTAACCTGACAGTGACAGATAAAGACCAGCCTCATACTCCGGCCTGGAGCACTGTGTACCGCATCATCGCTGGAGATCCCACGGGACGCTTCTCCATCCCCACTGACCCCACCACCAATGAGGGCCTGCTCACTGTGGTCAAGGTGGGATTTTAAGACCCTTGGTTTTAACAGTTGTACATTTAGCGGTTGAACTGAGCTGAAACACAATACTTACATTTAACAGTGTGATCCTCAGGCTCTGTGTCAGTGTTGTTTGCTGCCATATTATTTTCATTACCGGTAGGGATGGGTATCGTTAAGAATTTAACGGTACTACTACTTTTATTGATACCACTAATCGATCAGGAACTTCAGCGGTACTTTTGTAAGAAAAAAACAAAACGAAGAACAGAATTAACATTGCTTATTTTCTCATGCATTGCTTAACAAACGAACAAAGAACGTGCCCATAGTAATCAGATGGCTATTGGTTATGGCTACTGTATGTGGCTCCAGGCTGCAGCATACAGAACACACATGACACAACGACGGATGAACTACAAGCTAGTTGGTCGAAAACTGTAAACTGTACACTATTCCGTCTGTGTGTAACAGACTTTTACTGGATGCTTCCAGAGATCGCTCATGTTTCCGCTCTCACATGCAAAAGTCTGAACCACACTAAAAAACATTTAGCTCTCTCTGAAGCAGGGTCTGTGTCTCGGTGCTGCACTGTGCTCTGGCACACACAGAGAGAGAGAGAGAGAGAGAGAGTTGCAATAATAAACAGGAAAGCTATTTATTTTCTTAATTTCTCAAGTAAAGCAGATCCGATAACGCTGGAGCTTATCGATACTCTGTTCTTTAAAAGTTTAGCCCCAGGGCCTGTTTGATACTAGGTTTCGGTACCCATCCTTAACTACCAGGAGACCAGGACCAGGAGAAGAAGGACCCAAATCCGGAGCCCCAAAGTCAAAACAGATGTGAAACATTAGCAGAGTCTAGCTCAGCTACTATAACTACTGCTCCAGTTTTCACTGTCATCAGACTAATAATAAGTTCAGTGAACAAAGGTAATTTTCAAGCAGGTTCTGTGAGGATCTACAGGAAGCAAATATCTCTGAGTGTGAAAGTTTGTTCTTGACTTGTTGAATTTCATGGACCATGTTAACCCCCACACCCCGCCACCCCCCACCCCCCTCGCGCTCTCTCTGTACAGCCAGTAGACTTTGAGCTGACCCGCTCCTTCATGCTGACAGTGGAGGCGGAGAATGAGGTCCCGCTGGCCCGAGGCATCCACCTGCTTCGCCAGTCCACGGCAACCGTCTCCGTACGCATCCTGGACATCAACGAGAGTCCAGAGTTCAGCCCCAACCCCAAGTCCATCAAACTGGAGGAGGGTCTGCCTGCCGGGTCTCTGCTCACCACCTTCACTGCCCAGGACCCAGACCGCTTCATGAGACAAACTGTCCGGTAAGACCCTCACTGGAAACCAGCCTTTGATTTATTGGAATTCATTCTAAGGTAACTGTCAGTGAGAGAATCAGCTTATTATTAAGAATTTAATATAACCTTGGACTCGGTTACAATATTTTATCTATTTATACAGTGCACGTCTGCTCCTCTGTGTCAGAGTTCACTGATGGTGAAGTGGGTGGTGCCACCAGTGGTCTGCAATAATATACATAAATGAAATATCAAACAAAGTAAAATGATATCATTACCATGATATACAGATCAAATAAAATCAGTTTAACATTCATATAATGGTTGAACATGATGAATTCAGACTGATTCTGTCCTACAACACCTGTAACATCCCCACAATATGACATGATATAATCCTCAATTACTGTTTACAACTCAACTAAAACACATTCACATATATAATCCACATTCACTCTGTTCATCATGCACTATCCACTGAGGAAAAAGGAAGAAAGAAATAAACTGACAACATGTGGCACTCACTGAGTATGCGGGGTGACCTAGTCAGATCTACAGGGGCTGTATCCCAGCAACTACCCAGCAATGGTGACAGCCTCATTTTCATTGGTGAGACTTTGGCCCATAAAAGATTTATTAACCTGAAGAAGACATTGTTCTTATTTTATATCCAGTAGCTGCAAAAAGCAAAGTAACTGTTAATAAATACATAATAAAGTATGAATTAATCTTAAAAAAGCAACAAAAAAGTCTTAGTAAAGGTTTAACAACGACATAAGTTTGTTAAACTGAACAAATGTGTTTGTAATGCTGTCATATACAAAATAAGAGACTCTTTAGGCTTTTATTAATGTTCTTAATCAGTCTATATACTGTTAACGAGTTTCTGATAATGAATATCATTTGAATGACATTTGTGTACGATGCTTTTATTAACGTGTATATAATATTACTAACACATAATAATATTAATAAGCCTCTTTTATAAAGTCCTTACCCATTAACTGACACCTTAATACAAAGTATAGCATGAATGTGTGAGTGAATGGATGAGTGTGCAGGGCTTTGAGTTTGCCTTATGTCCATTCAGTGGATCCTCTGGACTGACCCATGATCTGGATGTACATATCTGTGACAAGCTAACAGCTGGTCTGTTGTCTCTGTTTCCTGTCCATGTGATAGTGTGATGGCGGGAGGAGTAATGAACTCTTTAAAAGCTTGTGAGGAAGGGGCAGGGCAGGTCCACTGCAGAGGGAGGAGGAGGACTGATATTTGCCCTGAGATGTTCAATCTTTTCAAGGGAGAAGGTCAGAAGTCTGTCACAGTCGGCTGCAGAAGCAGCGTCAGCAGTAGGTGGAGGTGGAGGAGAGGTTACAGGCTGATGGATGGTAGAAAACAGGAGAGATTAGCTGTGAGAAACTGGTCCCCTTTAAGTCTTCTTCACAGTTGTATGAAGGTAGCAGCTGTTTGAGCAGCGAGTCCTCAGCCTCTCTACATGTTATTTGTGGATACTAATCCCATCATTTATCCATGGGTAGATTCTGGCAGTGGACCTGAGTTTTGAGAGGAGCAACCATGTCCAGGGAGGATGAGCAGAACTGGTGTCCATGGAGACACGCCTTATCTCTTATACTAGAATACTGAATAGAAATTATTAGACTCCATCAAAAATGTCCAGGTTGGGCTTTGGAAGGATGATAGATGTTGGAGATGCAACAGAAACAGGGGCACACTGTCTGATCTGCTATATGAATGTGAAATGGTTCATGACTTCTGGTTAGACATAGTTTACTCTATTATTAATATACTAGAGACAGGTCTCATTGTGAATCCAGCATGATGCATGTTGGGTATTTTGCAGTGTTCCTGGGTGAAACCAGCCTTAATAACAGGTAGCAGAATAGTGTTAAAGTATTGGAAATCAAAAGAGTGAGTCAGTGTTAATGAATGGAGAGACGAGCTGGTTAAGATGGCCTCTTATGAGCAGTTTATCTACAGTCTAGATGTATTCTGGAAGATATGGGGCTCATATTTGAGTGCAAGAGGTAGAGGTGATCGCCAAGACTGATATTCACATATCCCATCTCTATTCTATATGTATCATATAATTGTCTGTGCTTGATGGACGAACATGAAGTTTAATATAGATGTCTAACAGCCTGTATCATACACTGCGGAATGTGCATGTTGTGTTCTTACATTTTATATGTGTGAAACTTTTATATCTTTAATAAATGTTTTTAAACTGAAAAAAAATGACAATCACAGATCATAGTATACTATCCCTGCAGGTGCATTCAGGTGCATCACCACCTCCCTCTGGACTGGGGGCCAGTCTAGGTGTAAAAAGATGGATTTTCTTTGTCTGTGTTCATTGTGTAGTAGATTTACTTTGGTGTTTGATGATACTTTGATAAACCCCTTGATGATGTGGAGCTGTCCAGGTCCAGAGGCTTCACTGACTGTATTTGATGATTATATAATATAGTTTCATTTGGGCTGTGGGGTGAATGTTTGCCTTTGCTGCATGCTGTTCTCTGCAGCCTCGCTCTCAGATAAAAGCTGGATGATTTGTGTGGAGTCTATGTCTCCAGCTCCAGCAGCTCTGAGCTAGCAGCTCAACGACCAGCAGAGCCTGTAGGACTGCTGCTTTCTGTCCCCAGCCTTCTTTCTTTTGCATCCCACTATTTGTTTCTAAATGTAGTGCTGAAATCTCTGTAGCCTAGCAACAGCCAATAGTGGACGCACACTTTGTTCACAAAAACATGCGAGTGCACACATGCTGACACAGATAAAGAGAGTGTATTGTGTGCTGTGGAGCGGGCCAGGGAGAGTGTTTTGCTGTCTGATTTTTCTTTTCTGTTGCTTTGTGTTGCGCAGTAGCTGCTGCCTGTACACTTACTCTTTATCGCACCAATTAACAACAGACAGAATATATCACCTGCTCATGGCTGCTTCATGTCGCCTGTTTCTTCAGTGTTGTCTGAAATGTGACTGTTTGTACTGATGTAAATCCTGTTGAGATAAATCCCCAAGCTTCGAGCTGTTGTTTACGATTCAAGATCAAGTATTTTCACTAATAAACACATGTTCTGATATAATGTAGAAGTCTGTTAGAGGCAGAGTCATTTCCAGCAGGAGTAAATGAATGAGACTGCTGCAGCCTCCATACATCACCCCCCTCCAGCAGCTTGGCCTGGATCCAGGCAGTAGATGAAGAAGCCTCTCTGTGCCGCTCTCTCACGCTGCCTCTCTCTCTCACTCACAATCCAGGTACTCCAAGATGTATGACCCTGCCAACTGGCTGGAGATTGACCCAGTTAACGGCCGGATTTCGACCATCGCCATCCTCGACCGAGAGTCTCCCTACGTCAAGAACAACCTGTACAACGTCACCTTCATGGCCTCTGATAACGGTGAGACCTGCCGGTGTTCTGCAGTGACCCCGCCCCCCTGCCACACACACATACACACACACACACACACACACACACACACACACACACACACACACCACACACACACAAAAACACACAAACACACACACACACACACACGCACACGCACACACACACACACACACACACAAACACACACACACACACACACACACACACACACACACACAAACACACACACACACACACACACACACACACACACACACACACACACACACACACACACACACACACACACAGGTCACTGCTCTCTCAATAACTGCAGTCGTGCTGGTTTAGTGTGGAGTTGGTGTCTCAGTCCAGAGTCTGCAGTTTTCTGCAGTGTTTGGGAACAAAAGCTTGTGAGGCTATGAGCTAACACACTGCTATAGAATATATTCAACACATTTTTACACCCCAGTTTTCTAACCAATTCATTAGAGAAGATCGAGAGAATAAAACACAGCATCATAACATTTATCTACTATAGCTCATTACTGGAAACATGACTGTGAAAATGGCTGCTCTACTGGAACTCTGGGAAATGTAGTTAAAGTTCCTCCAGTTATGTTTTAAACTCTGTAAAATTCTCTGCTATGAATCATATTTAAATCATCTCCTCTTACTTGATTGAGAAATCTGGATCAGGCCTTGTGCCCCGCCCACCACCTGCTTGCTCCAGGTGGGCAGGTGAAAGAGCAGAGAGTATCAAGCTGGGTAGAGGAGGAAACATCAGAGAGACTCAGACACATGTTTGAGCCTCAGTCAGACCCAGACTCAGATGAGGAGTCTGAGACCAGAACTACAGACTAGCAGACGTATCGGAACGGTTAGCGTAGTTAGCATCTTTTATTTGTTTATGTTGTTTGTTAGCTTGGAACTGGCCGTGGTTGACACAGTGTTAGTGGTTGTGCTAATGCTAACTCTCTCTCTCTCTGTACTGACAAGGTTTCAGGTTTATTAAGCCCCCGCCCCCCAACCCCACAAGGTGACAGGACAAGATTGAACACTTGATTTTCTTAGGAGGGGGTGTTTAAACTAGCAATACTGCTCCATGTAACAGCATCTATAATATTGACAGCAACCTCTTTTATTTGTGTGGCTCCACGTTAGCTGAGTGTTAGCGGCGATACTAGACTCTCCAACCTGTCGACCATGACTGCAGCCAAGAGCAACCTCCTCCAACATGACAGCTGGCATCAAAATGACAGTACAGTTACAGACAGACATCAAACAGTGCAGCACAGAGCCCCACAGCAACAACACAACAACACAACCATCACATCACAGAGCTGTGCTGAAGGTCTTGGTGGTCCCAGCTCCCTGTCACCACAGAAAGGATGTGATACTGTAGAGATCCTGAAAGGTCCAGAAACCAAATCAATTTGTTTCTTTCAGCTACAGTTTACAGACTTCCTCTGTCCCTGTTGGTTCTGTGGCTACATGCAGTAACCGTCAGCACTCTATAATTATCTGATGGTGACAGAGTTTGACAGCAGCCTCACATTCAGAGAGAATCACTATCCACATGAGCATTCCAGCTCACATTGCTGTCTGTTCATCCTCCTCTGAATGAGTGACCAAACATCCACCACAGAGATGAGACTCTGAATGCAGCCTGATGGCTTATTAACTAGTCAGCTGCTGCACAGTGAACAGTTTAAAAGCTCCATATTTTCCTCTTTTCCTATGTTATATTTGAAGTGTTGATCCATAAGAAGATATATTTGTGGTTTTTAGAAACAAAGACCATCTCAGTGTAGTTTTACATCTCCTCTCTCAGGCTTCTCTCTGGAGCAGTTTCTGAATACAGGCTGTGTGCATTTCTCTGTGGACTGAGTGCTTTGATACTTTCACAGTATTAATATAGAATCTAGACCTGCTTCATAATTATAACAACACATGGACATCTACCTTTAGACTTACCTACCTGTTAATCTCAACATCAATCATTTTAGATTGGGAATGGTGTCTTCTTACTGTTCAGTAACACTTAGAAATAAATGCTGAACTACAGTTTCTTTACAGTGTCTCTAACGACTTAGCTGTCAATCAAAAAGATAAAGACATACCCAGGCCCCGCCCACTCAGAGGCTTGAAGAGCATTTCTAATCATCACTCTAAACACCTCTGAACATCTTATTCCCTTTTGTAATGAAAAATGCAAATTATACAAAGGTGGTGTTTCGGGCATGTCCCACCGGGAGGAGACCCCGGGGTCGACCAAGGACACGCTGGAGGGATTATATCTCTCGGCTGGCCTTGGAACGCCTCGGGATTCTCCCGGAGGAACTGGTGGAAGTGGCTGGGGAGAGGGCCGTCTGGACCTCTCTGCTGAGGCTGCTGCCCCCGCGACTCGGATCCGGATAAGCGGGAGACGACGAGACGAGACAAATACATATACAATATGATACAATAAAAATAATACAAGTACAAGTTTGAAAATGACACCAGTGTGAGTTTTGACTGAAATAAGGAACAAACTTCTGTGATTGTGGGTGGAGTTAGATATAATCCAAACAAATCTGATTTCTTTAATCCAGTTCTATAGAGCACTGGTTCTCGAAGTGGGATCTGGGGTCCTTGAGGGGGTTCCTGAGGGTCAACAGCAAAAAATTGAATAATTTATTTTCAATTCAATTCAATTCAACAGGATCTATTGGCATGACTTTTTCAATGTGTTGCCAAAGCACAATTACAATCATTCAATGGAATTAAATTATCAAAGAAAAACATGTCAATAACAATATTAATATAATATTAATATTAATTATAACATAAATATTAATAGAATTGTCTCTATCACCCAGTGTGTGTTTAGGTCTGTTGTTTTCTCCAGGTAAAGCTAGAGTGAGGTTTTTTTTTTTTTTAAAAAGTCTGATCAGCAGTGTTGTAGTGAACAGTAGGACATCAGAGCAACACTGTGACCTCTGATGGAAGGAGGAGGTTTGGCTCTTTTGTGTCTGGTGGTGGAGGAACATGTCATGAGTTTGACGTGAAGTCATTCTCTTATTCCACATGATGGAAAGAGGACTTCCTGTACTGTAAACAACAGATTGTACAGACTTGTACTGTAAACTCTGTATTCCTGCAATCAAATGTCCTGATCAGGGGGTTTATAGGACACAGTAGTCCTACTGACTTCTAATGGAGATGGTTTCCTGTTCATTCAGCATGATTCATAGAGTCTCCCCCTGTGATCACAGCTCTGCTCACAGCCACAGAAAAGAGGATTCTCTGTTCAAAGTGGAAAATAGTAGAAGAGGAATGTTCATTCAGCAGCAGCTCCATCATTCTCTCTCTGTACAGAGGCCTCACTGTCCTCTGAGCCTCCTGCTAACTGACTGTTAGCCCATCCTCACTGATACTGATACTTACATGTCTGCAGTTTCTCTGCTGTCACCATATGTGCAACAGCGACCTACTGTTACTGAGCTCACTGGAGTTTACACTGTGTCCATGGAGATTAGCAGAGGACCCACATCATTCTCAATTAACTGATGCAGTGGACTCGTCCCTGTGAGGAATAAAGTGCTCATGCTCTGCAGCAGCACTTAGCAACATGCATCCAAACATCTACCATTTAGAAGGAGCTTTGTGAGATGTCACTATACAAAACTTGACATTCACTGAAAGGATAAAGTCATTGATCCTTTTTTTTTTTTTTACTGTCAAAAAATCCCATTAAAAAACCAACAGTGTGTTTATCTCTCAGTACTCCCTGAAAAAACTTCATTGAAAATACATAGTTTCATTTTTACTACTACTACTACTTATTTGTTACTCAAACAGGAGGAAATAGAGCATTTGCTGGGGACTATTTCCAGCTGCGGATTAATCCACATTAGGTGCTCTAGTGAGTATTTGGGGCAGCAGAACGTGTGTGTGGTGTGTGTTCATGGTGATGAAGGAACATGTGACACAGTGAGACTCACTGATGTGCTTTAATAGTGTTTGGAAACAGTGGAGCTCAGAGGAGTGAGAGACATCAGGCTGTGATACACACACAGAACCTGTTAGTAGGAGACACTCACCGTTGGTTTTATAGGAAAAGGCTGATCCTCCACTGATGTTGGTGGCCTCTAGTGTGACATCATTGTGAGGTCACTGTCTGCAGGCCAGATTTTCCACCAGGGGGATGATTCCTGTTGGTCTGAACCTTCCTCTGGTGTTTCCATCAGACCAACATGTCTGTTTGTCATCAGACACAGTCACATCTTATGGACAGATTGCCACTAAATAAACAGACATCATCATCCTCCAGCCTCTTTTCCTTTTCCAGGCCAAAATACAAACTTTGTACACATGATGTCTAATGATCTGATTTGCTTGTCGCCGGTAACATTACAGTGATCAGCCCAGAACCCAAGGGAATCAGCCTTTTTGGTTTTAATCACCCTCAGACCAATTTCTCTAGTGAAACCCTCAGACAGATTTTATTATGAGATTTATTGTGGGTGTAATGAGCAGCTCTTACCAGGGTTTAAACCTGTACTCTCATTTTCCTCTCCAGGTTTATGAGGAAAACAGTTTCTGCCATGAACATCATTCCCTCAAAGATCGTACCATACTGGGCCTACAGATGTGGTGTGCATTGTTTGTTCAGTAATTAATAAATAAAATAAAATACTTTTTTTCACTCTGTGTGCAGGTATCCCTCCTGCCAGTGGGACAGGAACTCTTCAGATGTATCTGCTGGACATTAATGACAACGCTCCTCACGTGTTCCCCCCTGAGGTAGAAATGTGTGAGAGGCCAGATCCCAACGCCATCAACATCACAGCCAGTGACCCAGACCTGAACCCTAATGCTGGACCCTTCGCCTTTGAGCTGGCCAACCGTCCATCAGATATACGCCGCAACTGGACACTCAGTCGCATCAACGGTCAGTGTAGGAACATGTCTCTCTATGACTTCCTGTTCCTGCTTTAAGAGGAGAATCCACCCAAGATAAAAACCATGTTCTTTATATAGTCGTTCTGTATCATGAGGTGACGACCAGCTACAGGTGAATTTAGTCTTTCACTGAGAGTCCAAAAACCTTTCCTGATGTTCTGTAACTGAAGCTCCAGTAAACCATCTTAAACACACTCGACCCTGGAGATTTCACATTTAAGTCAGAACAATGAGCCACATGAGGTTTGAAGTGGACGTGACTTCAAGGAGACTGAAGTTAGGTGAGACCTGACTCTCCAAACGTTTGACATGAAACTTAAAGCAAAACAAGTCTAATATATTGACAAGCCTTGTTCACAGTATTAAACAGGTCTGTGGTGTCAGCTCTGTAAAAATTATGCTAATACAGTTTTGAAAATATCCATCCATTTCCTGATGCTTGTTGGGAGTCAGGTCACAGTGCCCGCAGGATAAGAAAGGTAGTCTAGATCTCCTTGTACCCAGCAGTGTTTTCCAGTTCTTCCAGTCTCACGCTCCATTATACCGTCACGCATCAACTGCGACACTTAAACTCGTACCCAGCTCATGATGTCTGTTTCCACTGGCATTTTGTAGCAGGAGCTGTTTAGACAATTAATTTGCCTTTTCACTTTAGTAGTTTGGGAAGTTACTAGATTTTTGTGGATTTGGCTTTAGTGTAAGGTTTTAAAAATATGTGTGTAGCGGAAAATATGCAGAACTCTGCTCTCCATCAAAAAGCCCCCAGCTGCTCCAGTGACCACCGTTAGCAGACTGGAGCAGTTCCGTACATACCCCAGTGTACCTGAGTGGAAGAGCATGCAGCTTCTCTTTCTATCTTTTAACTGCTCCATCTCTCTGTCCGTCCATCTTCATCCTGTCGTCCTGCAGGGGAGTACGCCCAGCTTCGACTGCGAATCAGCTCCCTGGCCAGTGGCATCTACGAGGTTCCAGTCATGATCACAGACTCTGGAAACCTACCGATGTCCAACACCTCCTACCTGAGGGTCAAGGTCTGCCAGTGCGATCACCATGGAGACTGTGTGGACATGGAGCGAATCATCGCTGCTGGATTGGGCACCGGTGCCATCATCGCCATCCTCATCTGTATCATCATACTGTTAGGTGAACCTCCCACACATCAAGACACACACATATACATACACTCACACACATGTTGCTGTAGCACTTGGCAGAAAAATACACAGCTACAGAATATCATTTCTCAACAGTAGAAAATATAAATATATAAATGAATATAAATAATATAAAATATAAATATAAAAGTGTGAAGAAATAAAACAGTGTTTAATATTTTGTGCTGAGACAATAACTCAACAACTAAAACTGGGCACCTACCCCGAGGCCCAAGACCACAGGGGCCCCAAGGACCCAGGTTCACTGTGTGTCAAGTAGCTTTGAGCAGTTTTGTCAGGGAAGTTGCACCATTTAAGAACAACAACATCTTAGGTTGGATCTATGTTACCTCATACTGTAGGTGATCTGCTGTGTAGGAGAGGTGTATGTTAAAGTTCAGTTTCAAAGATAAACTGTTTTTTATCACTTGTGTTGTTTTCCTACAGCTCAGCCCATCAGCTTGATCAGTTTTGATAGAAATGCTCTCACCACAATAAAATCTGACTGTCAGACTGTGGCAACAATGGTAAAAACAGAAATCATAGGCAACTTTACACACCACACTTGAGGGATGACACTCTGTTTGGTCTGGACTATGGCTGCACAATGTGAACAAAATTTCATACCTTGATATTTAAGACAAATGTTTTCATTTTATTTTCACTGAAAAAGTATAAAAATTATGATGATGTGATTTTTGCTGGTCTTGTACCAAACAAACATTATCATTGCTGATGGTTGCTGCTCGCTGCAGTCAGCAGCGAGCAGCAACCACGTGTCAGGTCCAGGTCTGCCCAGGCACAGATCCCAGCTCTTGTCCCTAGCTGGTTGCAGTTTGTTATGAATTATCTGCTTGTTAAAAAGCAGCACTTGATGACAGAGCTCAGCTCTTCTGAACACTGCAGGTGAGTGGACAGACGAGGAGCTCAGCTCTCACTCAGTAAGAGATGATGTGGACTCGGATTTACTCTATCAGACATTACAAAGAACAAGACTTTGAATAGCAAAGGATGAGTGTTCAAGTACTTGTACAAAAGACCTACCGCCCCAGCCCTGCTGCTGCACACAATTTTTGCATCACACTTTTAAAGTAAGGGAGAGTGATCTGGATCTGGAACTGACTCATACAGGGTTTCACCTGCTGGAAGCTTCTTACATCAAATCACAATGTTTGATCAGACAGTTGGAATAAAGCTGGACCTTAAACACACAGAGCTCTTCAGGCTGCAGGAGACTGGCTGTCACAGTTCATTTTATAATGTATTTCATTACTACATTAAAATGAACATTATGAGTGAGGCAGGGTTTGACAGATTCCTCTTACATCTTACATCAAGCTGCAAAGCTGTATTTTTCTTTAATGAGTGATGTTTGGTGAATTTTCAGTTCAAATCTTTGACCGTTGCTATGGCAACACCATTAGGAGCTTTGCAAAGTTGGAGAGAAGGTTTGTTTTGTGAAGAGTACAGAAAGAAAAGAGGAGAAAGGAAAAGCAGAGAGGCAGCAGAACTACGAGGCTGCTGCCTCTCCCACCAGTTCACATGTAGACTTCAGTCCCTGAGCAGCTGATGGAGGGAGCCCTGTGGTGGAGCTGGGCTCAGGCAGCGTCTCGTTGTGTTAAACTGGACGTGTTGTGTGGCTGAGACGCTCTGAGCTGCCAGCTGACAACCTCCCTGCTGCTTCCACTGAAGAACCTGACTAATGGTGATAAGCCGTTTCTCAAATCACCTCTCCAGGGTTGAAATCGTCCTCACTCAGAGCTTCACTCAGCGTCCTAATGTGCTTTGGCCCATGCGGTTGCAGCAGTGTGGGTTTACTCTCCCTCCCTGAGTTCACTGTCTCATAAATCCTCACAGATTAATATGATGAAGAGCACAGAGTTTTAAAACCTGCCAGTTGTGTCAAAATAAGAGTAGTGTTTCCTTAAAACACTCCAATCCCACATGAAAGGATTTCAGCTGCTGTTGTATTGAACTGACCATCACCAGGGATGTAAGGAGATCACACTGGCTTATTAATGACAATGAAGCAGGTCTCCAGGCTGGTAGTTAACATCTGAGTGAAGAACACAGATACAGTACTAAAGCTGCAGAAATCGAGTGTAGAGATATAAAACAAAGCAGTGCCAGTGTGGACGTGAGCTGGGAGCAGTTCAGACATGTGATTTTCTATTCTTATTTCAAATTAAAAAAATACCCAGTAGTTCAAGTTAAAAAGTTAAATTAGTTTACCTATAAGGTTTTTTTCTTTCTTGTCACTTTAAAGGAGCTATTTGTAAGTTTTTCTATTGCTACATAGCTAACATTAGCATTAGCAGATGTTTACTTACCAGTCAAGGAGAAACGTTGTGAGATCAGCATCAAACTTCATTTCTTGACTCACCAACAGCTGTCTCCAGAGGTGGCAACAAACACCACTGTTAACTCTTCTACTGAAGTTAGCATGCTAACCAGCTAGCCAAGTGACCAACAGCGACTCACTGTAGAGGTAGCTGCTCAGAGGATGTACTATAACATCGTGTCTTATAAACACAAAGATGGCTGAAGCTCTTGGTAAGAGACAGTCACCACTAGCCGCTCCTGACAAAAAAACATCTTCAGCAGTAGAGAAAACTCACAGTCTCTTTAATCATCACTCGGTCCCTGCAGTTGTTCTTCTGAAACCCCAGGACCAGTGGCGTTCAGACTGATGCATGTTAGAGTTAACTTGGAAGAACCAGCATTAGAAACAGTCTATCAGCTGTTACTACACTGATAAATATCTACCAACAAATCAGATGTGTTCACTACCAGACAACATCACAACATATTTCATGAGAGGAGAAGTAAGGACACAGAAATTAAGTAGTTATTCAGTAGTCATGTTGACGGGGTCTATGGTGAGCACATTGTCTGCAGTGATCCTGTTACCTCAGCACCATTAGATTTCCTTAGTAACTGTTCACCTCTGAAAAACTTTTATATGATCTCAGAGCAGATCACTGTCCACAGTGACCTTTATATGCAGAGCTTCCTTCTAGCACCACTGTCAGGCTGCGTTTAGCTTTGGCTGCAGGAATAGTAATGACTTCACTGTCATGAAATCAGCTGTGCGTTGCCATGGTACCCAGAGGACTTGCTGTACTTATTTTGAGCTTTTTAAATGTCACTTTTACAACAAACTTTCACACAGAACTTTCACACATATCAAAAGACTGAATGCAGGATATCTGCCAAGGACATTCAGGCTCCTCAGAGGAAGAACCAGGCTGAAGCAGATGGTTCCATTTGGCTGTTCTATGGCTCCACTTTCTACTGTCACTGCTCCAAGAACAGAGGAGTGTTCCCTCTTTACAGTGATGGAAGCCTTTCGGGTTTCCGCCTTCACAGAGTCAGTAGATGGCTCAGAAACCCCCAGGAGACTGAATGATGTTGAGTGGAGACCTGGTCTGTCCCTCATGCTAAAGAGTGACTTCTCTCCTGCAGTGCTGGTGCTGCTCTTCGTCATGTGGATGAAGAGGAGGGACAAGGAGCGTCAGGCCAAGCAGCTCCTCATCGACCCAGAGGACGACGTCCGGGACAACATCCTCAAATACGACGAGGAGGGAGGTGGAGAGGAGGACCAGGTACACACATACACACACATGCTGTCTATGTCTGTATGTCTCTATATGTGTTATGTCTTCAATGTGTTATTTCTAATAGGCTATGCTGACTACAGGTTAACTCTATGTTTACCTTCTACACCCGTGTTCATCAGCACTGGATATTCCTCCCCCTCCTTGCCCTCACACACACTCCCACAGTCACATTCAAACACACACACAGTCTCAGGAACAAACCATAGAAGACACACTGTTGGCAGACAGACACACACCCTGCTCCTCTGCAGCTTTCAATCATCTGTCCTCCAGCAAAGATTAAGTGTACCACAAAAGAGGACCTCGAAACAGGATTAATTGCTTTCTGTTGGAGAACAATTTCCTGTGTCCCTCCACACTGCTCCTCTGCTGAAGCACATAAGCTGCTCCGCACTTCTGCTGGGAGGAAGTTTAACCCTCGTTCACCCAGACAGCCAGACTGAGAGCGTGCTTTAATTTATACAGCAGCAGATCACTGGCTGTGAGAGGAGGGGAGTTATACTGTACATGTACAACATGCACACACCTACCAGACGCCTGCCATGACACATGGCACTGTTTCACCATTAGCACATAAATACAATCTTGTGTTGCAGCCAGATCTGTACTGATCTGTGCTGCTCCAGGAAATAGCCACAGCCCAACACTAACAAAGGCTTTGACCGTCTCCTGCTCAGCTTCTATAGTTTGGTAGTTAGACATTTCTATTAATTAATTTATGCTTCTGTTATGATACAGCACACCAGTATAATCAACACAACATCAAAGTAAAGTTATCAGTTGAATGTGGCCTTGAAATGATAATGAAGCATATGTTTCCTTTACTTCCACTCAGTACATCCACTTAGAGTTGAATATGTTTAGAGGTGGAAAGGGAGCTGAAGAATGGAGCTGGAGGTCAGAGGCAAACAACCTCAGGGCTGGAGAAACCAGAGAGCAGGAGCCCTCAGGCGGATGGCCTGACAGCCAGGACTAGACTCAGAAACAGATAAATTTTGGCTGGGACCCCCGGTGCAGGGACAGACAGAACATCAGCCAACTCAGGGTCCAGCTGGGTGTTGGTTATGAGGCTTTACAGCTAAGTCTTTGTGGAGTTGGGCAGGCCGGGGAAATTGATGTCTCAGAGACCCAGCAGGTTTCCTTCTAGGTACCTAGATACCTAAAGAAAATGACCAGACAAGTCCCCAGGAAAGGGGGCTTCTCAGGGTCTTCAGGTTGAGGATCAGACAGGAAGCCAGTCGGTTCTGGACAGGAAGGTTGCATGTTCACGAACCGGAGCTGCATCAGCTGGAAACTAGATAAAACAGGAGGAACCAGGTCATAAAGCCTGCAGTATTTAGACGTAACAATCTGGAAAGACAAGGCTCTGGACACACTGACACTCACGGACATACGAGACACTGGCAGGAAGTGAGGGAAGGGATTAAAAAATAAAACAGGAAAAACTACAGAGTCCTGACAGGAAGTCAGATCATGACAGAACATATTCGGTGTAACATCTCAGTCATTGTATCACATACACCCACAACGACTCTCTCTGTCATGTTCCTGACTTTCTGCTCTGACTTTTTTTATATTTAGACATTATCAGACTGCTGAACCTCCATGATGGAGCCAGACTGCAGCTCCAGATGTTTGCTACTGAGCTGATGTTCTGTTAAAACAGGAATTATCAGGAAGGGTAGAAAAGTGCTTTTAGTTTCTCCTAAATCAAAACATATGTCAGTGGAGACATGTTTATGTTGTGAGCAATGAAGATTTTCTGAAAATGTCAAACATATAATGATGTGTATTTTAACCAGAACTCAACCAATTACTTAGCAACAACTGGTAACCATGACAATTAAAGTTTAACTGAAGCCAATTTAACACTGGACAAGAGACCAGTCAACCTGTCATCAATGTGAAATGGAACAATCAGCATTCACTTCCAGGTCACATGACTCTGCAGTCGGTCCCAGCGCCGATGACACCTGTCACCTGTCCAGCATGCTCCAGAAACACTGCAGCTACACCTTCCTCTGAGAGTGAGCTGTACTCAATAGGTTTTAAAAACACACAGCCACTAACTGAAGCGTCCCACACGGAGGCTTCGACACTGATGGGAGCAACAACCCGGGATGAGACGATCTGTGTTAACAGCTGACTGTCTGAATCTGCCTGTGTCTGTAACTGCATGTGATGACGTTGCCACAGTTGAGTGTCTCTCTCAGTCCGACAGTGTGAAGGGATTAGCTGCATTTAACAAACCTGCTGATACCAGCTCAGTCTGGTGTTTGACTGTGAGTTAATGGTTCACTCTCCATGATCCAACACATGGAGGAACAAGCCTTCATGTAAATACACAGTTAGAGTCAAGGTCTTCTCACTGCTGCACCGTCACATGTTGCTCAGGCTGTTTGATTAGACTTCATGTTGTGTTTCCTACAGGCAGCCTGCATTAGAGTTAACCTGAGGAGAAAAAGACTATCTCACACACACACACACACACACACACACACACACACACACACACACACACACACACATTCACATTATTAGACCTTCTAATCCTTACCTATAACCAACACTACTGGGACCTGAGAGGCTTATTAATGGTTATATAATCCATGAAAACGTAAATGTCATTGTTCAAGGTAAATGGTAAATACCAACACAGGCTTCTGATTGTTGGACAATAAAACACAGTCAAATACTGGAGGACAGGAGACTATGAGAAAAGACTTCAGCTCATATCATCCATCAGCACCACTCAGATTTTAGAAAGCAGCAAACTGTGGAGGTGTGTACATGACAGGCTGCTGTCTGTGTGTCTATGTCTCTGTGGACGTATCAGTACTCCAGGTTGTTGGTGTGTAGAGTTGGAGAAGAAAGCTGTCACCAAAGAAGAAAACTGGCTGCTGTGGGTTAATGAACAAATGTTTTGAGTGTTGGAGCTCCAAAAGACTGAGGCCACGTCCAGTTATATGTAAACTATGCAGTAGTTTAGTAATGCATTAGGTAGCCTGGGTAATCAGTGGCTGCAGATTATTTTGTTGTGTTATCTTTGCAGATGCACGAAAAGCCCAGTAGGTGAGAGACAGAGAGAGAGGGAGGAGTGACTGTGCTCTGACATGCAGGAGACTGACCGGCTGGACTGCAGCCACTCTGTCCTGCCTCAGTGTCATTGTTGTACAGTTTCACTAACACATGTTTCAAAGTAGATATAGAAGATATGAACTATTGTAACCTTTCTTTATCCACAGAGGTTCCACTGAGAGGCAGCCTGTCTCTAACAGGAACACCCTGATCACCCTCAGTCACACATATTCACACCAGGAGGCAGCTGGAGCAGCTGAAGAGGGATCCCCCCAGATTTAATCCAACCAGTCTGGGGAGGGGATCTTTGGATCACAAGCTTGTATCGCTCACATTGAGGCCACCACTGCTTCCCACACCAGTGTAGAGTCAAAGTCAACTGGATGTACAGTGTGAATGACATGAGTCTGAATCTTTAGACCTGTATGTGCATTCACTCTCACTCTCACTATCTCTCTCTCTCTCTCTCTCAGTGTTGTTTATGACTGATTGACAGAGCCACTGGTTGTGCTGCAGCTGTGGGAATGTTGTGTGAGTCCAGAGGAAGTCGGTCATTTTCTATAGAGCTACAGCTGTGTTTTGTTTTACCTCACATCACTGCCAGTCATTCTGCAAAGCATACCATGGTGTTTAAAATGTACATATAATATAAAGCTGAGGCTGCAGGAACACGATCTGGAGTTGAATTATAGCAGCACTGGAGAAATGCTGGTATAGATCTTGTAATAGAGTCCTTAAAGAGGATAAAAGCTCCTCACTGAGAGGACGAATCAGTCTCATCCCTGTAAGTATAGAGATACAAGAAGGACGCAGCATTTCGCTCCTCCCTGCAGGTAGTAGCGGGGCTCTCAGCTGCTCTTCAGTGAGAAGTATTCTGTTGGTCGGCCATTATCGTGAACAAAGTCCAAGGTCAGTCCACAGCATGCTGTTATTGTCCAGAAAAGGCTGCTTCAGTCAATTTCCCTGGAGACCAGAGAGCATGAAATGGTTTCTGAATGGTTGCTGCAGTGACTCACACTCCACCATTGAACACCAACAGATCAGAGGCCATGACACACACTTCCCCTCTGCCTGCTCGCTGCGCTGGTGTTGTGTAAGAGAAGGTGAAAGACAGGCTGTGTTTCTCTAAGTGGATGCTAATTAGACAGCATTAGAGCTGGGTTCAGTTCTCCCTGAGGATGGATGATGTAGGAGAAATGGGAGACATTGCATCAGAGTCACTGAAATTCTCACTACATCAGCTATTAAATACAGATGGGCCATGAAGGTGGTGATAGACCCATTTACTGTAAGTGTGTGTAAGTTCAGTCAGGTTCTTAACAAACTGTAATAAAAACCTGCCTGTCATCAGAAAATAATGCTCAGCCTCAGACTGACGGTCACTATGTGTCTGTGTGATGATAACAGTGATCCACAGAATAAACACATTACAGTCAGCGATCAGACTGTAGAGCAGTCCTTTGTAATGACCTGACTGTTGGTAATGACAACTCCAAAATAACAGGAGATACTAATTAAACAGTGTGTTTTAAACACTGTTCAGCCATGACGTCACCATTTCAGCATCAACAGGTCAGTATGTGTCATTCTGTATCTGATGCTTCAGTAACACACCACAACCAGCAGCACACAATGTGTTTCCTGATGATGAATCCACTGGACATAGGTGATCCTCCTCCATCATGCTCCAGCTCCTGGTCTCTGTCCATTAGTCCAGTACTTTGATATAGTACGTGTCATCTAACAGGAATATTGATCATTTCTTTTCCCACAGTCATGACGACTGATGATTTTCAGTCCAGCTGTTCAGGATCCAGACTGAGGATCAACATTTTGATATGTACAGACCTCTTGGTTCTTAAAGAAAACACCACAGAGTGTGAGACCTGAGGGTCCTGTTGCTGATGTGGTCTAAGGACAGTGATGTGGATTTGTAGTCATTGTCCTCACAATGAATAGTGGGGTCAAAGGTCAGTGAGAGGGACGACTCATGTTACTCTGACACTAATATGTGAATGTGTCTCTCTCTCTCTGTCTCTCTCTCTCTCTCTGTCACTGTGTGTGCGTGTGCTTGTGTTCAGGACTACGACCTGAGTCAGCTGCAGCAGCCTGACGCTCTGGAGCCAGAGTGTGTCAAAGTGGGAATCAGACGTCTGGATGAGAGGCCCCTACACTACGACCACCAGTACCCCCTCCGCTCTGCTGCCCCCCACCCAGGAGACATAGGAGACTTCATCCATGAGGTAGGACAACGCTGTGTGTGTGTGTGTGTGTGTGTGTGTGTGTGTGTGTGTGTGTGTGTTGGTGTGTTGTGTGTGTGTGCGTGTGTGTGTGTGTGTGTGTGTGGGACAAATACTGGGTTGAAACCTCAGAGACATGTTTGTCAGTGTTGTCAGTGTAAACCTGCAGGTGTGAGCACTGAGCACATGCAGGTGTCAGCCCACAGGAAGTGATGAATCACCCTGAGTGTGATACAGACAGCAGTGAGCGGACACTGTGTCCAGACGGACAGGATTAGCTAACGTTAGATCTTTTGCTTCTCTCAGCCTGTTTCTATCCTGCGATATCAGGCTTCAAAGGTTCAGGATGTGCAGTTTACCTCATCATCTGACAGGATTCAGGGATACTGAAGTTCAAATAGTTTCTCTCAGAGCGGTTCAGAGCTGCTGCTATGAGAACTCACACACTCAAACTTTGATTACTGCTGATCAAAACAGAGCACAGAGCCTGCATTCAAACAGGATACCTCACAAACATGATGCATTCAGTTCTAGGCTCAGTGTTTTCCCCAAGTGTGACTGAGTGCACAGTGACAGATCAATGAGATGTGGTGATGGGAGGAAACCTGCCAGCCTCAGGTTGATTAACAAGTTGACCTGGTGTAGCTGAGAGAGTGACAAGCAGACAAACAGAGACTGTGTCTGACTTAATGAGCTTTGTAATGGTCAAGATTAGCTGCACTCAGACGTGGTCCAGCCTGGATTCAGTTCAGTCAAACAGACTGGCTCCAAGCCACAGCACTTTAAAGGTTCAGGCTTTGAGACTCTATCACTTCCATCATCCACCTTTAATATCTCTAAAGGTCCATGTAGTATAAAGGTAGATGTCCATGTGTTGTTTGATTATAAAGCAGGTCTAGGTTCTATATTAATACTGTGAAAGTATCAAAGCCTCAGTCCACAGGGAAATGCACACAGCCTGTATTCAGAAACTGAGCCTCAAAACCAGCCGTCAGGACTTCTGGAACTTTGTGATGTCACAACAAAGCAGTCACTCCTCTCAGCCATGCCCCATCCACCATCCAACCTGATTTTGGTTTCTCTGAGTGTTTACCTGAAATCTGATATATTTTTATTGGATCACTCAAAAAACAGGCTCACCACCCTGTTGTTACTGGAGCTCCAGAGAGAAGCCTGAGAGAGGAGATGTAAAACTACACTGAGATGGTTTTTGGTTCTTAAAACCACAAAAATATCTTCAGATAGATCAACACTTCAAATGAAACACTGGAGAAGAGGAAAATATGGAGCATCACTGTTGATGACTCCAGTGAATTCAAGTAGTTGCACCTTCACACAGTTTGTGAAGGTTACTGTACAAAATTACTGTACACTGACTGGACCGTTCTTTATAATCTGACCCCACAGCAGGGAGGAGGTGTACACTGTCTGGTTTTGTGTGTGTGTGTGCATGCGTGCGTGCGTGCGCTCTCTGCCTTTAAACCTTCCTTAAAGCATTACATCCCTCAGATGGATTAACATGAGTCTCTTAGTTAATCACAGGCTTCATGAGGAGACTCAGCTCTTCCTTCAGAGCTGATAACTGTTGTCACATCTTGAGCTTGGCACTGAAGAATCATCAGTGTGTGTGCTGCTGATGCATGTCGCTCTGTGTGTGCTGGCTGCCTCCATATTGTTTGTGTGTGAGTCTTTTTGGTCGGGCTGCATAAAGACATCTGCCAGGCGCAGCTATGAATAATGAGCGGGACCTGTCAGACATGGCAGCCTGATCCAGACAGCTTAATCCTGCAGACATGACAAGCCAGTGCCTCTCGCCCTGCCTCTCCCACTCCCTCACTGTGTTAATGCTTTCCTCCCATTCAGTGTCAGGGTGGCAAGAGTGTCTTCAGTCTGACGACAGACATGGTCCACAGAACATCTCCACAGTTTATCAGATGTACTGCGCTCATGTCTGAGCGAAGGAAACAACACCTCTGTTCTGTTAGGACAGAACCTTCATGTGTCTATGTTCATTTTACATGTACGTCCACTCCACCACTGTGCAGGCTCTCTGAGGGAGTTCACGAAGATTGTGTGTGTGAAATGTTTGTGTGAGTGTGTGTGTGTGTGTGTGTGTGTGTGTGTGTGTGTGGGAGGGGGTGCGGGGTTTAAGTTCAGGCTATGCTAGGTAATCTGCTGAATCTCCTCCTAGAGATAGAGGCAGCATCTGTCCACCCTGACCCAAATCCTCCTCCATAATCCCTCCTTCCCTCTTTCTCGCCCAGCACTCCCTACTGTTCATCTCCACACACACACACAAACACACACACACACATACACACCCCTCTCATCCCGGTCTTGTGGCTGTTCTCTGGGGGCTGAGTGAGGGGGGAGGGGGTGATGTAGAGATTAGACAGGCGGGCTAGTGATTAGGAGGCTGACATTTGACAAGTCCCACATATGAGGGAGAGGGAACTTGGCTCCTTTCAGACGGTATGAGCAGGTCACTGAGGGTCTTCAGACATGGGTCTTACACTGCATGGACACAGGTTTCTATAGAACCTGTAGAGTTACTATAGAAACATTATAGGATTACTATAATCCTGCAGTAGATGTAGTCAGAGTCTTGTAGCTCTCTCCACCATAAACTCTGCCTCTCAGATATTCTGTGGAGAGTGTGGGCTGCTGTCACGTGGAGACGATCTGACAGCAGCAGATATCTCACACAGACCTGCTCTGTGCTTTAACAGTGATGTGAGTCTGTTCCTATCACGTTGTGTAGCACACATCAAACAGGCTCTGTGTGTTTGATCAGTCTTATTACTGCCCTGATGATCAGCCCTCAGCTGATCCACTGGGTCTCATGGTGAACCCATCATCATGTGTGGATGTGACGCACAAACCAGGTTCAGTAAAAAACATTTCTGGTTTCATGGGCTGCCGATGATCTTTCCTCACCTTCCTGTCTCATCTCTTTGTTTCTCCAGGGCCTGAAGGCAGCAGACAACGACCCCACCGCCCCCCCCTATGACTCCCTGCTGGTGTTCGACTACGAGGGCAGCGGCTCCACCGCCGGTTCCCTCAGCTCCCTGCACTCCTCCTCGAGCTGTGGAGACCAGGACTACGACTACCTCGGCGACTGGGGGCCACGCTTCCGCAAGCTGGCCGACCTGTATGGCGGAGGGGACGATTAGCACCCTCAGCCCCCACCAACAACAACCACCCTCCCCACCCCACTCCTGCTCCAAGGCACAGGTGTGGGTGGAGCTAAGGAAACACGAAATGGGGTGAAGACGGGGTTTGGATCAGCACTTCTGTATTACCACAGGACAGCTTGTAAAGAGACCTGCTGCCTCTCATGGACAGTTGATGACACTAGGGACCATGCTGACTCCGGGCCTAGCAAGGCCTGGCAGTGGGGAGCATTCAGGCTAATGGACATTATCATCTGAGCATTAGCCCCTGAGCTAACAGCCAGAACAGTGCGCTCAGAGGGACGTCGTCTCTGCGACAGCCATGCTACAGACGTTCATCTACACTTGAATCTCACAGTACAGGAGCACTGGGCTCAAACGTGCCTTTTTGTACATTCTTTTGATTGTGTCCTGATTCTGTACGTCGCTTTGAGGCTCCGCTGCTCTACAGCTGCAGTTGGAGGAGCGCTTCGCCATAATAACGAGTGCATGTGTGTGTGTTCCACCTCATTACCTTTACATGTGTGTGTGTGAGAGAGAGTGTGTGTGAGTCATTTCCGCAGAGTCACACTGGGTGGACACTAAAGGGCAAAGCCTATGATGAGACCGCCTTGGATGATCAAACCTGCAGAAACATGGCTCTCCTGTGCAGCTCTGGGTGGTAGCACTTTTCTTTTCTCTCTGATTCAGTCACAAAGTTCTACAGTGTATAGATCCTAATGTTCATCACAACTGCTGTCATTACATATGTGACACAGTGACACATTCCAGATAGTATATCCTCTCTCTGAGGCACATGTGTGTAATCAGGCACAGTTTATGACACAGTAAATTTAAATAACCTTGTCTCTGAATCTGGAGGTTTTCACAGCAGGAGACTGAAAAAGTTTTTTGTGGAGCAGTTTAAATATTGTTGTGTCCTCGCTGTGTTTCCACTGATGGGGACTTGATGGGATGTAATTGACTTTATTTGCAGGTTGATAAAATACAGAAAAATACAGCGATAAAATATCATTTCATTTATGTGTCAGCAACAAAGAGTCAATGCCACAGCAAAGAAAATAAACCTGAAAAATAAACCCTCACCATGAGGATAATGAACAGAGTCATGAAACATGCTGAATATGACAGAAACAGCAGCAGTGAACGCGTGAGTGATTCAGGTACAGCAGACATGTTCTGATGAATATGTATGATATATGTATGATATATGTATGATATTCACTGACCTTTAATCTGCTAATTAATCTGTCCAACAGAAGAACTTGAACTTTAGGAATCCAGCTGATGTATCTTTGCATACTGCAGTGGGGCAGTCACAGATGTTGCAGCATTTCTCTGTGATGATATCAGTTCCTTATTTGGATCTTTCTAGTTCCTGGAGGATAAATCTAAAGATTCAAAGTTCCACTCATACAAAAGAAATATTAAAGGTACAGGAAACAACATTTTCCATATGTGGATATAAATGTTTGTTACTGAAGTTCCACAAAATCTCAAACAACAGCTAAAATGTTTAGAATTTTCTCACCACTCTGTTTCTGTCATGTTCAAATACAATCAACACAACACGTCCATGTGGATCAGGTTGCACACAATCACAGCACAGTGTAAAAGTGGCAGAGAAACCTCACACACTGGGTCTGAACTGACTGAGCACCACACTGAAGCCAACAGTAAAACCAGGACTCAGTGAGTCCACCTGAGGAGTAGACCAGCTGTGTCACTACATCACAAAACTTCAACAGCTTCATGAATGAAGAGGCTCTGCAGGTCAGTCTGTATGTAGGGGAGAGACAAGTTCACTGAGCGAGGACACAGCCTGCATCACAGAGCTGCAGCTGTAACACTGAAGGATGTGTAGATAACAGATGGTATCAGTGCTTCATTTCCTTATTATAACCCTATTTGCCCTGATCAGCTAACAATGATCAGCCAACGTACTCTCAGTCTTTCTCTTGTACAAGCTGAACATTAAACTTATTCAAGTGCAGTTCATTCTCTTCATCAGTCACACTCACACACTGAAAGCATTGTCTCAGTCTGTTTCAGCTCCTCATCCTGACTGTGAGAGCAGTGACTCTGGGCCAGTTGATGAGTCAGAGCCTTGTCTTTGTCTGAGGCAGCAAAACACAAGTCATCATGAACTCATGGGCTAACTCAACACTGACCAGGGCTGACTATTTACAAAAAAACACATTCACAGGGCTTGAAGGAGCCTCAGAGTCCAGCAACATGAAAGTGACTCACACCTCATGCTTCAAAACTTCTTAATACACAGGCTCAGTCTTTTTCCTCATTCAATAAGAACATTTGCTCGACCAGCTGTTATATTAAAAGCTCAAGATTTTCAGTTTCCTGTACCTTCAAAATGAAGTTTACCAGGAGCAATGTGAATGGTGGTCAGACTATATAAGGTTGTATAAGGATGCATACAGCTGTATACAGCTGTGGCGTTGCCTCCTGTTGAGTCACTTGTTTCTGTGGTTTCTGTCAGTGAGCAGACATTGGTCAAACCCAGAGTTGTACAGCAGAGCTTCATATTTTTGCAGGTTGGTTCTCCAGAGCTGCTGAGGAGACATGTACAGTAGTGCTAGACTTTAGATAGATCCCTTCTGTTTTTGTTTTGCTTTTATCACAGTGTAACTTATGCAGCTGGTTGCTGATAAAGGGAGTCATCAGTCCTCGTTTTGTAGCAGAGACACTTGATACTGCTGTGGTGGATTAAAAAAGGCAATGTTTTCTTTCTGCTGATGATTTGCCTTAGTGTTCTCTGGATACTCACTGTAAACTGAACTCTGTACAGATTGTATTTTCTCTCTTGTTGTTCTTTTGGCTGTGGTCACAGAAAATGACATGCTATTATCCTGAATCCTTGTATATGTGTCATTTGGATTACAAATTAAAACGTTTTTGCATGTTTTTATCTTTTCATTATGGGAAAACAGTATTTTTCACATCCTTTGCAAATAAGTTAAACACCATTCACACACATGACAACACAATAACACTACTGAGTTGTAAACACACTGACACTTTTTCCACATTAGAGGAACATATTAACCCATATAGAGTGTTGTTTGTGTCACCTGATCAATTTCAGCCCAGTATTTCCTCTCTTTTAGCTCTATGTTTGGTCTCCACCAGCTTCTGAGGGAAATATCTGGCTCTTTAGCTGCTTGCTGACAGAGGCTTCTTACAGCTGTTTCTCTGAAAACAGCTGCTGCTGTGAGAGTGATCCAGAGCAGTAAAGATCTGTCCAGGCAAATACCGAATTAAAAGGCCAAAAACCTTTGTCATTTGATCCATTGTCAATATGATAAATATTAAAGAGTACTGCTAGTAGCATAGCAGCGGTAGGTAGAAAACTTTCATCAACAAGAACAACGTGTAAAGAAACACTCCAGCAATTTAGTTTTACTCTTTTTAAAGTTGGGGTTTAACAGGAGACAAATTAAAGACATGATGGACACAGTGAAAGCAGCAAAGAAATGTCCACATCTTTAAAACCTAAGGGGGTGTTGGAGGTGTGTCCAAGCTGGGTTCATCGCCACTGTAACAAACAGTCATACAGTCAGACAGATAGACACTAAATACAGGTGGTCTGATCCAGATCCTTCCAATCCTGATTTCAGTCAAACCTTATGGAGAATGTTCAGACTTTGGTTCTTACAGGACGTTTCAGCAGCAGGATGCACTGAGATGGACTGACATCAGCAGAGATGATGAAGATGCAGTGGGCACATCATCATCATCGCTGTAGCTCAGTCTTCAGGGAGTCATGGTTAGTCCTGAACCATGTTCTGAACCAGGCCACTTCATGTGTGCACATTAACCATAGATTTAGCTTTTGAGCTTAATGTTTTAATGTAAACTGTCACAAACAAATCGACAAACTGATGACTCTGATGAGGCCAAACACTGGATTGTCTCTGTGTGCTGGAGGTGAACAGTCTAGAACGAATATGACAGGATGAAGAAGGTGAAGGTTCTACTCTTTTTGTAAATCCTCAGGACATTTACATTATCTGTATGTATATACCATGTTACTGCTACAGTATCTGTGTGTTAAAACAAGTGAGTGGCTATTGTCCAGTTAAAGTTAGGGAAAGATTATCATCAGGGTTAATATGTGAAACAAATACTGGTTCTGAACTTGTATTCTCAACAGCCTGCTCACTAAGAAATGAAAGTACAGGAATGGACCTAAAAAGGTACAAAGGCTATTCCCTAGCAGGGTACAGCACTGTACCTTCGAACATTGGTACATCTTTGTACCTTCTTCTCTGTATCTCTAAAATAACATTTCTGTACCCTCAGTGAAAAAAATGCAACATGTTATTTTGTTTCCATGAGGTAAAAACATTCCCCTAAATTCAGAGACAAAATAATTTTCAGTTACTGACCAAAATCTATTTAAAAAAATGGCAATTAGTCTTTTAACAAACAATTAGTCTTTTAACAAAAGCAACATTTTATATGTAAACTAATCCATTTTCAGTGCATTTCAATGTATTGTTCTGATAGAACTGATTTGTTCTTAAAAAAAGTTCCAGCACATGAGAAAAAGCAGCTTTTCAACATTAAGCCGAAGCATAAGACCTGAGGAGCCATTCTCTAATCACTGAGTGCAACCAAGAGAAATTTCATTTTGGTTTCAGACATAAAACAGGAAAAAAGTTCAGTAAAAGTACACTTACAAAATGCAAATTCATAACTCACATACTGCATTGGATTCAATTCATTCTTTAATTTAATAATTTATAAGCCTGCCTCATGACTCTACAACATTATTAAAAGCATTAGAACAATGTAAAGACTAGCTGAAATCACTGAAATGCACACCCAGCATTGTTAATGACGCTGAAGACCAAGAACTGAATGGAAATTGTCGCCTGTTTTATTACAACAAACACACTCTCTTAAATCAAGATGTTGTAATCAGTGATTTGCAGCATCTCCATTCATTTATTTGGCACTATGGAGGTGAAGCTCAGTGAATTAGAAGTATGGCTCTGCATCATGGAAACAACTCTTTTGCTGTGGTAGCTAGCCAGGCCCCAGTAGCCAGCACAGGTCGACCAAGTGCAGTTTGGGGCTGATACATGAGTACAGTCAGATTTTACTCAGTCAGCAGTAATGACACCTGATCACCGCCATCAGAAGTCACCAGTCTGTGCAATTTTGCCAAAACAATGTTGTCATTTAACCACTGGCTGTCTAGTTCATCCCACCGTGAATGGAGCTGCTCTCATCTCTAGAAATCTGACAGAGTTTATCAGGAAGCCAAAGGCATGCCTATTGGCTGCTTTGGTCAGTTGACTTAAAATGAACATTTTACTTTCCTTTGTGCCTCCTGTGTCATGTGACATGGAAATTTAGCCATCATCGCCAACAACATGTCCTCCTTTGGAAAAGAAGAATCCATTGTTTTACACTCGACTTTTCGACCGTTTTGCACTTGTCGTACTTGTCAGTGTGAACACAGTTATGCACTGAAAACAGCAAGTGTCAGTATAGAAGCATCAGTCTTTCACACCCCAGCTGGAAAACATCTGAGGTCACTGATAAGCAGATCACAGTCCAGACCCAGACCTATAATCTATAACCTATAAATTATTGAGAATTATTACAGTTTTTGTGTTTCTGTTTTAACCAGCCACCAACAATCCCTCCAGTTCATTTTTTTAATTAACATTTGAGTTCACAGTAATGAATTATACAGCATTATTACAGTAAGTGTCTGTCTGAAGATACTGTAATCACATTTAATGAAAGAATCCCTATGTTATGTAGTCCATGAGTCAGTACAATAAAGGATGGTTATCGTAGTACTGCAGCCTCACTAGACACTGAGGGTCGTGAGGCTCCGTGGTATAACTCACAAACACGTGCTTTAAAACAGATTTCATGAAAGCTGGAGAGTAAGTGGTTCCACCAATCTAGAAGAATTTAGTTACATTTTTCTATGTCTGAAATGCTTTTCTGCTGGCTGGATTCTGTTCAGGAAGTTTTCTGAATGATTGAAGTGTGACATCCATGACCCGACTCACCGCAGGAAAAGATCCTGGTCTGGTTTAACACAGATCTCCCAGATCTCCCCAGCCACAGGGACACTAACTACAAGTTGATTTGTCTGACTCAGACGGATAGAGCCTCACAATGACTCCAGACTGCGGATTCTGTCCACAAGTTTTTAAATATATTAAGTTGTTCCCCCTGTTCCTATTGATTATTTTAATCATTGTAGAATGTTGTATCTCATTTTTACTTTATGTAAATTTTTTTCGCTTTTTCTCCTCCTCAATGTTTAAACTGTTTTTAATCTATTTATGTGAAAGGCACTATAGAAATACAGCTTATTATTATTATATTGGAAGTTATGTACACCTGAATTTCCCCTAGGGGATAAATATTTATCTATCTATCTATCTATCTATCTATTGAGTCAGTATGGACAGGGGTAGATGATTAGAGTGATGATGGTTATGTGACCTCTACTTTAACAGATGAACACTCAGCTATTCTGCTTGATCATGACTGTGGGGACGGGTTTTGATCAGATTTGATTGACAGTGACCGAACATTCCACCAACTGTCGCCAAACTGATTCAAGTTGAGCCCCGCCCACTTCAGACCAGTAAGAAGACATACACAAATATTTCACGTGATTGTGGGAGGAGGGTGAAGCTGTATGACTACATGTGTGTTCAGTCTGTCATGTATCTGAGTGAATCATCATGACTGGGGCTGTAAACCAGTGGGAAATATAGACCTTTGAAAGTCTCTGTAGTCTCTGAGGCTCAGCTGTGTCCTTTCAGGAGGGGGTCTCAGCCTGGCTCTGAGGTCCTTCATGACCCACAACTTCAGAGGATTCAGCCTCTGGATTTGTACTGTTCTATAACTAGCACCTATCTATGGTTTAGCCTGTTTCTCCCCCTGTGCATGCTGGGATAGGCTGCAATTGAGCTGAGCAGGATGAGTTGTCATTAACAGATCATGAATGGATGAAGACCAGATCATGTGATCAGTGGAGGAGACTAAAGACTGACACAGACCCAGCATTGGTATTCAGCCTGTGAGTCCCAGTCTAGTCCTCAGTCCTTGTCTTGCTTCCCTATGGCGGCTTTAAATCCCCCTTTTCCTCCTCTGGCCTTTTATCTCCACGCTCACATGAAACACACAAAGTCTGTGGTTTCCAAGCCCAAGGGCACATCAGCACTATCTTCCCCCAGCAGCCTGCCATCCAGAGAGAGGGGAGCGTAAACCAGCCCCTCTCCTGAGATCACACACAATTAGACAAACACATTTGCTCTGCTACACAGCTCTCTTTCTCTCTCTGTCTGTGTGTCTGTGTGTGTGTGTGTGTGTGTGTGTGTGTGTGTGTGTGTGTGTGTGTGTGTCTGCCTGTATCTAAAGTTCCTGCAGGTGCATCAGAAATAAAGTCCACAGCTGAGAGCTGACTGCAGCTGAACCAAAAAAGGAATGATCAATAAGTCATATTTTCTTTAATTATAGTAAACAATTATACTGAATCTCATTCTGTCTGCAGGCTAGCACCACATTTAAAACATGTCTTCTTTGACTTCCATAAAAACAATAATTTTTAGCATCATGGTAGTTGTAGCTTCTCAGACACCAAATTAGTTCAAAGGTCAGTTCACTCACATCATAGAGTCAAACATTCACACACAGGTACATTTTTCTGTGAGTGACAATGAGAGATGGATGCAGCAGACAGGTCTACTACAAAAACATAAAGCAACATAAATCAGCTGCAGCTGATTCAGAACCTGCTGCCCATGTAGGACCAGGACCAGAAGGAAAACACACCACAGCTGTTTTAAAGTCCTCACATTGGTGACCTGATACTGTATGTTTCTTTATTGATTTTAAAATCCTTTTAGTTGTTTTTAAAGCAC